TAGGATTTGCACCAAAGCTAGCTGGATTTAAACGACATGCAGACTTAGCGCCTTTAGCGTCAACGCATAACTTTTGAACTCGTCCTCCGTACGTGATGGAGTATCTGCCAGCTTGAGTTCACGCTAGTAGCTCTGCAACGTGCGCACAGCGCCACTTGACGCAAACGGTGCAGATCTACACTATGCGCAAAGACGACTGGACTCGAACGCAACGCAACGCCACATTCATCAATGAGAGGGACGTAGCAGCGAACATGGCTACATGTACCTTGCAAGACGTGATGCGCGACTTTGCCCACGTTATCACATGCGGAGCCGGCACGAAAGGGAAAAGGCCTCGCGACGGCACTAGACAAGCTGCTGTCTCGCCATCAACGTCAATCGACGATGCCCCCACAGCACCAGAGATGAACTAAAATTATGAGAGCTGGAGAGCTGGCATGCAGAGCTGAACTTAATTTGGCGACGCTGGCACGCTGCCGACTTCCTGCATGCCCATTCCAGCGGTTGTCATCTATTAATTATTAGTGCTGCCGAATTAATTAAGTACTGTCGATGTGATCTGTCGGGCGTCTATATTTCGTCGCTTGGAGGTGCAGAGTCAATCGCTCCTTTCAATTAGTACTGTGTCTGACAGGCCGCAGTACTTATTATCCCAGCGTTTCATCAATTACAGTCAAGTGGGGGTGGAGTCCGTACTAGCACTTACGTAGCTGGATTTGGCTACATGTCTGATAGAATGACGAGTTATTCCTATCAGCACTGAATGCTCATTAGGAGACGCGAGATTATTCTGCGGCCTTGAACGCAGACCGCCAGTTGCTTGCGACCAAGACTTGTATGCGCACACATGATAAGAAACGTCAAGTCAGGGGCCAATGCGACTCGAAGATTTCGAGTGAGGGTGGTCTCTAGGCCAGACGCTGCTTTTTCCTGCTCCAGTCCCCCTCACCCCCTGTTGGAGACCTCAGAGCCTACAGGCGCGTTCTGACAGACTTCAGCCCATCACACGAATCCCTGTCGATGCTTTTGCAGGCACAGTTACGTTTCCTTTGAACGACTGGAGCTGGCGCTGGTGGTGGTGGCCAGTCAGACCATGCGCTCTCGAGCTTGTTGAGAGCTTTATTAACAAGCTCCATGTCGTCGTTACTTGCTAGCACGGACCAGGGGTCGCTGCAGCACGCACCTCAGAGAACAACGACCAGAGCTTAGGCCCCGCTCGGGGCTCCGCTCCATGCTCCGCTGGACCTACTGAGAACGTTCATCGGTTTGGTGATCATGTGGTGCCAATTGCGCGCGCGCACTCCACGAAATGGAGGGTGACCTGTCGTTTTGGCGTGCCCACTGGGCGATGCGCAACCTATGTACAATTCATCGCCTGGAGGCTGGGAGGATCTCACCTCAAGCATTTTGCTCGACTGGCTCGGAACCTTACCGGCCACGCCATGACTCGACGCTGTGTGCGTGCGTGCCCGCCCTATGCTAATAATGCTACGTCGGCTCGAGCATCCAAACTACAGTCCCCATGGGTGAGCCGATTAATTGCATGTTTGATCTCCTGACCCTGCAGACCGAGGTGCTCATAATTCGTACAGTCCTCACTACAGTAAGGTACGCCACCACCCACCACCTGCACCACTGCACCACCACCACCCAGCATCAGTGCTCCACAAGCCGGCATGTCTCGCGACTTTGAGTGAGATGAGCCATCTACAGCCGCGCCTAGTAATCTGTCTAGACATTTTGCTACGGCAAAAGTACGCACATCCACATATCGAGTACCTGCACGTACGTTGGCCTCGAGGTACGGCATTGGTGATCAAGTCCACCCCCTCGCAAATTACTCTCACACCAGGCTCCGTCGAAAATTCCAGACCAACACACGTCACAGCGATATTCAGGCCTCCCGCTTCGAGGGATAACCTCTTAGTGCACTGTGTACATGTTCTTACTTGTACGTACGTACGTACAAGCGTCAGATGGCTGGGTTTGAGACTACCATCGAGTCTGCAGACGATATCATGTATTGTTGCTGAGGAATGCGATCAAATGCGTGGACTGTGCACCGCTGCATCTTCCTGGTTTCGGCGGCGGCAGGCAGGCTGGCTGGCTGGCTGGCTGGCTGGCTGGCTGGCTGGTACTGTCTCATCGCCTGCTTCTCTCCCCCTGTCTTCTACACCGGCCCGCCGCCCAGAGGATCAGGTCCCTGCGACATGGGAAAGGGACGGTCGCCGGTCGGTTCCCACAACAAAGGGACATGGGTTGGTGCGATTGATGCTGGGGGATTTTCCCAAGCGCAAGGTGATACCTGCAAGGGACTACCCGTAGCTCACCGTATACCCAGTTTGGGCATGGATACCACAAGTACACACTCGTATAACGTATGGACAGGTACTTACATTGTGTAAGTAGCTAATTAGTAGGTGCGTAGTTTGACACGACACACACCCACTCACTTTTCACTTTTACTCACTCACTCACGCACGCACGCACTCGCTCGGCCTTGTCTTCTGGCTCCTGCGCAAGTGGCTGCTCCCATGCACCTCTTCTCGAGCTGGGTGATCTGCGCCCCCCAGCACGCACAGCCTGGATGCTTCGAGTACGTACGCTTGCCCATTGGGACCTGTTGAGAAAACAGTGCGGCTAAGCTGTCGTTGACGGTGGCTTCCGCACACCTGAGATTCTAGTTTCTCTTCTATCCCATCTCCTCCTCATCAACTAGGCTCAGCTTAACTCAATCCTCGAGTCATTGTGGACAAGCCTCGTCCCCCCCGCCGTCCATTGACATAGCTAGTGGCGCCTACTAGTCAACGAAGAACTTGCGACGATCCTAGGATCCTTCCCGAGTACTGTCCACAGTGGGCTCACATCGACTCGGACTTTGACAGCGCGGTTTGGGTGTACCGTGGCACACCTCATCTCGAGAACCTATACACAGTCTTGTCAGCTCTATAACGGACGATTCTGCGCCGCAGCTGTCACAGTCGGTATCGGACATGAGCGTTGGACGAAAGTCCAACTAAAGGTTCGACTTTACGAAAGGCGCAAGTGTGAGCTCCAGGCGACTGGAAGTGTAAGTCGTTCATCATGCCACGCTGGAACGTCATTGACAAACTTCAAGGCCTCCTTCTATTCATTTATATTCCCCCCTCTGTCGTTCTTTCATTCAAGCCCATATCATCGCCGCACAACGGTCGGATACGCATCAGTTCAAGCTCTCGGTTTGGGCGTCAGCAGCACGAGTGAGACTGTCCGCAAACGGCTGGCCAATAGCATTCGGCATTCGAGTTACGCGCAACAATAACAAGAGGTCGATATTGTGTCGAACGGTCAGGTAAATCAGGTCATCCGCGCGAGTCGACAAACTCTTTATTTGTTGTACTTCGCATTGGGCTTGCTCGCCCACCGTGTTGCACAGCTCGACCACCAGCGCACAACGACTGACAGCGCCACGCTGAACGACACCAGAAGCCGAGACGAATAGAGTGGACACACGCTGTGCCATATATCAATTCGAAGCATCACTGCTATACGACAGGTCACGCGCTCTGAGCAGTGAGGAACCTCGTCACTCCGGGCAACCGCTGCTGTGCTCTCGACCGGCCGCGTCAAAGTCGATGAAAATAAACGAACGAATCCTGCGACCAAAAAGCGGTCTTTGCCAGTCTAATGGCCATTGGATACGATAGCGACTACGGGTTGAATACGCAGACAACCGCTGGGGGTTATTCATATACATCCGTGGCGGCGTCCCCCAGATCAAAGCCAGTCCGCAACATGTCGTGTCAATCCTCCGGCCATCCCATGGACGGGTCGGAGATGAACATGTCCCAGGGCTCCTACCAGTCGGGCTATGAGATGTCGTCACAACAGCCCTCGCCCTCCATGTCCATGGACCCGAACTGGCCGCTGCAGCGGTCCTTCTCAACTCCTGACGGCACGACGATGCACCAGATCGAGCCCAACGCGACCGAGAAGAAGCGCAACAAACTTGGCTATCACCGGACGTCGGTCGCTTGCAGTAAGTCTGAGGACCAGTAATCCCGCAGGGATCCATGTCCCTGACCTGGCTGACACGCTCCTCAGGTCACTGTCGTAGGCGAAAGATACGGTGCATCCCATCCGCGAACGACCCTCAAGGGCGCTGTGCCAACTGCATCCGCCTGAAGAAGGACTGTAGCTTCATATTGACAGAGCAGCAGCAGGGCTCTGATGCGCGCCATAGGGGCTCGGCGCAGCCGTCTGCCGACCCGCGAAGCAGCTCGCAGCCTTCGTCGCCCGCCGGGACGCCATCCGCAAGTCTCCCATACAGCGTCCCCCAAGGGCCCCATGCGCCGTTTCCTGGAGTCGCTGCGAACATGCCGCCCATGCCACCGCCGTTGACAGCCGGCCCAGGCCCTGAGGGCAGCATGTGTAAGTCCACAACGCCTCCGTCTTGCCGAAGGAGTCTGTCCATAACTGATTGTCCGCCAGCAACCGATCTAAATCCTGCCAACCGGTACGACTACAGCCAGGCCCCGCCCTCGTGGGTGCCCTCGTCCAATATCCACCCCTTCCTCCAAGAAGAGCACCCGAATTGGAGCAACCCATTCCGACCACAGGGTGATGGCCCGGGCGGTGAAGCCCCCGCAGAGCAACATGCAATGTCTGCGAACTGGACAGGGCCTCGAGAGGCAGGTTGGGGTCAGATGGGCGTCCCCGCGCGCTCCATGTCATACAGTGGCGAAGCCATGCGCGGCGGCGGTTCTGGTGCATACGGCATGATACCACAACAACCTGCATATGCCGCCACAAACATACAGGGCTTGCCCGACCCCAATGCATACCATCACATGGGTGCTGCCTCGGTCTCGCCAACTGGTATCCCCCATCCAGCCCAGGCGCCTCCAGGTTGGCAACAGCCGCCGCCACAGGACTTTGACAGACCGGACGGGTATGGGTCATGGGAGGGCTCAGCGCCATTCCCTCCAACGCAGCAGATGCCGGCGGGGAAGACCATAGATGGTACAAGGGGGGGCAGCTGAGGTAAAAGAACAGATACCCGACCAATGCGAGGCTACCACCTCGGCTAGCATGATTTTGAGCCAGCGATTACGAATGAGGCATGGACGACAGGGATAATACGAAATGGCACGATGGGTAAGGGATAACCGGACTGGAGTTTTTCGAGGCGCTGCATGGTCGCGTTGTTAGACGCCGGACGTAACGAATACGGGTACCAGGGGATTGTTCAGGGAGGTCAAAACAACAGGGGCAGACAGCATACCTTATGGATAGATATCAGGAATCAGGATCCTGGTAGAAAAGAGTGGGCATTTTGACCAAAAGTGTCGATAGCGAAGGAATAGCATTCGTATCATGCTACGTGAACCTGTCTTCAGGGCAGGAGTCGCCACATCAGGACCAGCAGCGTCGAGTACGCGCACAGGCTCAGGATCGTGAGCAGCGCGACCGAGTCCCCGCTGGTCCGGAACCTCTTCCTCAAGGGTTTGTCCGTGAGTTCTTCGTTGCTATTGCTGCTGCTGTTGCTCTCGTCGCTCCCCTCGCCCGGCGAGGCCTCGGCGGTGAAGAACTGGCGATGGCCCTCGTATCGACGGTATATCGCCACAAGAAGCACGGCGGCGCCGTAGATGGCGAAGAGCGCCCCGATGGCGTAGAACTCTGCCGTGAAGATCTTGAGGATGACCAGGGAGAAGGAGAATTGTCCGAGGGCCGTGCGCATGTAGGCGCCTTCAAAGGTGCGTTGGGCAGCGCGGATCTCGACGAGCCTGGGACGTGTCAGCGGTTGGCTCCTCGGCTCGTGGCGGGCAGGTAATACGTACTCTGGAGTTGTGAGGATGACGGAGCGGGCGCGGTGCAAGCGCAAGTGTAGATGTTCCTCGGGGTGTCGCTGTGCCTTGTGAGCTCATGTCATGTTGTGGCACCTCGACACTGTTCACTTACACGAAACATTTTGAGCTAGTGGAGCCAGTTTGTCTAGTCTTCATGTGCGCCGAACTCTATAATCAAACTTGAAAAATTAATTCAATCTATGCGAGCTCCTTTGCGCTGATTGTGGTGGAGGGTATGTATCGAGTAACATGAATTTGAATGCAATCGGGAGTTGAGAGCTGGCTGCGACGTCGTAGGCTGCTATCACGTGCTCGTGTCAGTCTGGTTTGGTTACCCTTGACCAAGGTGCAATAAGGCGACGAAGCGTCGGCATTAATTATTGTGATGATGAGCCTACCTTACAGCGGGGCTAGGCTCGATTGAGATTCTGCCGTTAGCGGTGAAAAGGTAACACCGGAAGGGTGAGAACCTG